ATTTCTAGTTTTAAAATCATTACAATGTCATTGTGATAAAAATAGGGCTAGAACTATTTAATTGTTAAGTAGAGGTAATTGATTGGGTTTTAGACATACATTTTTGCACATCACCCTGTGTATGTAATTCCACTGGAATAAAACAGTTCAATATAGCTTAATACCTATGGTATCTAGTAAACACCCAAATTATTAAAAATATAAAACAGATAAAAAATAAGATTTATAAATTGGAAGCTCTAGACTCTCCCAATAACCAATAAAACTCTACATTTAATTCCAATTATTGAACTTTTGGACAAGGCAAAAGCAATGAGACTAAATATATTATAGAATGTCTAAGTATAGTCACAAGCATAGTTTAAAAGTATTAGTACACAACAATTAAGCAAGACAGACAAATCCATATATGGGCAATTGAGTGTAATTTAATAGAAATATTCTGCTACATATTTTGAATTTAATTGTACATACCTTAAAAGTGCCACTTCTATACTATATATATATATATATATATATATATATATATATATATGGAAGGAGTATGCAGTGTTGTGTTAGGTAAGCATATATACATATATATGTATATATGCAAGATATTATGAACAACTTAAATGTCAAGCAGCAGAGAAATGGCTAACTACATTGTAGTATGTGGTATACTATATTTGCACAACATAAAAAGAAGATCATGTGCCCTTTTAAAGTCAGGTTTTAAATATCATATTGTAGAAGTTTACTGGCATGGAAAATTTCTACAATAACATATTAAATGAAAAATGAAGATACCAAATTTTGTGCATACTTTGAGCTCAAAACATTTTTCTACACATAGCATTCTAGCAATAGTAAAGAGAGAGAATCTACTCAACTAGTGGAGAACATGTGCCTTACTGAGAGATTACTCCCAACTCTAATTTGGCGTCTACCTTCTAGCCATTTCTAGTGAATGAGAAATTGCATCCAACATACAATCCCTAAAATGTAAGTCAAACAGTTTTGGATGCAAAGGGGAGACAATCTAAGATGATTTCAGTATAATAAGCTAATATAAATAAGCTTTCAATACTCTTTATGATGCAAATATAAACTCAGTGGACATTTTGGGAAGCAACATGAAGTTTTCTTGGTTTTCATAGCCTAAAATGTGTTCACCTAGACTGTCATTTACTATTTGCTAGAAAAGAGTGCCTACCCGTTAATGATAATCTGCACACCAACACTTTTGAAAACCTTTGGCAAATGCAAAGTCCATTATGACATTACAGATGATTTCTTTTACTATGTTTTCTAGATAACTAATGTGAATTAAAAAGGGATATTCTGTAATACTATGTCTAGTACATACCAGGCATATACTTGTTTTAACGTTATCCTGATATGAGGAAGGAGTATGCAGTATTATGTTAGGTAAGCATTGATACATCCACATGTCCATGAAATACCCGGGGAAAAAATAGAACCTGAATAGACAGGTACACCTAACCTTGCCAGGAATTTGACTTATAAATGGTTTTTCTCATTTCCAAGTTGATTTCTTCAGGTAGTATGTAAGATATAGCCTCTGCCTTGGCATATACTCACTTTGTTAGAGGAGTAATTGCACACTCCCAGGTTATACACTGTGGGCTTGAGTCTCTTAAATTATCTCATTTTGTGTTGTTTGACTTTTTCCAAATTGTACTTATTCCTCAGTTATTTCACTTGGAAAAGATTTCAGTAGGAAAATTAGTGACATGCATCTGGGTATGTATCCAAGTCTTAGTGATATTTAGGTGGGTGTATCACAGATGATGTGCTTTTATACATAATTGCATAAATGATTTCATGAATGAAATCTAGAACAGTACAATAAGAGTCTTATTCTACTCACTTCAAAAGATGCCACTAGTTATTTAAAAAGTCCTTCATATCATCTCAGGTAAATACATATATTTCAAACTACTGAATTTTAGGAAATAAGGCCTCTATTTTTTTTAAATTCCAGTGCTATTAATAGTATTGAGAGAACAAGTCTAGTTAGCAGAGTGAATTGGGTTCAGATTGGGTCTTGTGAAGCTCTGAAATCCTATCAACTAGCCACCGACTTCCTCCACCTATTTCCAAACCAGAAATATCATCACTCTCACAATCACCGAGATTGCTCTGTTTTCACTGGCAGCAATAAGATCTTTTCTTTCTCATAACTGAGATGCCAGTTTATGAGGGATATTAATACATACTACTGTAAATAAAATTATTGTATTCAAGTAATTCAGTCACTGCTTTTTCAATCTGCAACTCGAAGAGAGGTATAAAGAGTTGTCAAACCTAGATTGCTATCCATTAGAATGTGAAGCCAGATAAAGGTGTGTATGTATGTGTGCGTGCATGCATGCACAATTTAGATTTTCTAATTCACTTATGGCTTGATCCACATAAGTCTGGAATATAAATACATATTTTATAATTAGTTGAATTTTAACATACAGAAAACTGGAAATAAATCAAGTGCTCAAGACTAACAATTGCTAGCATTGTTTATTTTTCCTTTTTATTTTTTTGCCTCTACTGTTTGTAATGACATTTTATTTTTCATAAACATTGTATGGGTTAAATTTTGAAAATGTAAGTCATAACCTTCATGCAATTACTTCACATAATAATCTCATTAATTTAGGGATGAATTGGGCACCCAGAAAGAAAGAGAATAGAAGAAAGACAAAGGAAAAGGAAGGAGAAAAGCTAACATAATTCTCTTTTGTGTATGCCAGAAGTCAGATTGGGGTCTCAATCCAGTGTTTATCCTGCCTTTTCAAACCTCAATGTCCTTTCCCAGTTTGCTCCATTTTGAAAGTTTTCTTTTTCCTAACATCTAACATAAGTTGTAAGTTGATGTGGTTCCTCACATCTCATCATTTAATGTTTGAGGCTGAGTTCGTAGAGGTAGTCTTTGATCTTTTTTATTCATTTATGTATGGGGTACAGGGTCTCACTACACAGCTCAGGCTGATAGTGATCCTCCTGTTTCAGCATCCCCAGTGCTGGGATGAGGGGCATGCACCACCATGCCCAGTTTCGGTGGCAGGCATGGCATGGCAAGCCTGGGTTTCAATGCCAGCATGGCATGTGGTACTGGGGATCAAACCTGGGTCCCCGTGCTTACCAAGCAGGTGCTTAGACCATTGAGCTATCTCTCCATTCCTATAGAAGCAGTCTTGGATGTAGGGGATAGTAAGTGGTGGTATGCGGTGGTGATAGCATTCCTGGACGGAAACACAGATGCCTGTTGACCTTACTATGTAAGACTACCAAGGCTTTATCATTTTTTCAACCTAGTACAATCCTGTAGGTATGCTGCTATCATTCTCATGTCTGATAGCATTTAACACTGAATGCTTAAATGCTAGTAATGCCACAAGAATAATATTTTAATTTTATTTAAAAATGTTGTCTAAGAAGTCCCAAGCCAATCTGTATGCAAACCAGAGACATCTAAGTAATAAGCCCCTTATCTAGGAGTGTTATCTTCACATTTTTAGCTGAATTGTGATCCATATCACAAACTAAATAATGGAATTTTTTAATAGTATCTTCAAAAGGATACCTAAATAATCCATCATCCAGATATATCACCAAGTAAAGAAAATGCCTCTTGCTTTTTTACCTCTCAGTGTTATTGCATTATGAAGTTCTGAGTATTTTGTGATCTTATTTCTGGTTGGTTTATGGTTCTTATAAGGTGTATTAATGAGGCCAAGGTCATGGGAGCCAGTAAGTTTTGCTTTGAGTATTGATCAAATACTTCCAGAAATTTGTCCTAAAATGCTAGCTTACTAGAAAAACACCAAGGCAAAATTTCTGTACTTCTGTCCATCATTCTCTTGTAACAGGCTGGATATGTTAGTTGGGCCTCATATTCTTAGGGAAAAAAATCCGTAACAACTTGGGAAGCCCCAACATCAACCTCTGTACAAAGCAGTCCTGACATTTAGGCATTAACTTTGCATTGCAATTCCCCATCATACCATTGATTTGCTGTGTAACCTTCATCACTAAAGCAGAGATAATAAGATAGAATGAAATGGATTTACCTCCCGGGGATGTTGTGTGAATTAGCAAATTAACGAGTGTAAAGTGTTAGCATTTATGTAAGTGCTGCTGGTTGTCATTATTTCTAGAGACCTAGTCCTATTCCAAATGGAGAATCTAAGTATATTATGTTTTTGTCAAAAAGGGATTTTTACCCATATCAATTGCATTTGAGATGAGCATAAAACAGAGGTGATAATAACATAGTAGTGATCATCACAATGCAGAGCTGTAAACCTTTTTCCTATTAAAGCTAAAACTATTTTCAGCAACTTTCAATGCTTTTAAACTTTACTTTCCAAGCTTTGTGCCAACAATTATCTGCATAGTGATTATTCTTCCTGTAATGTGTGGGGAGAATGGGACCCAAAATAGGTCCCATTCATTATTCATTCCCATTATGAACATATAAAGTATTGAATTTGTTTACATCATACAATCAGGTAAAGCCAGTAGCTGGTTTGATTGCCACCAATTGCAGTCATTGGAAAAAAATAAAAATTCTTCTGCTCTGCCCATGCTGGTGTCCTCTAGAGGTAGCCAGCATAAAAGTTCAAAGCTCACGTGGAATTGAAGTGTTTGCCAACAAAAGGAACTGTACATAGATCCTTTCCATTTTATGTCTTTACCAAGGAAATTTGTTGTCACCTGCTATTTCCAAGGGGACTCTGCTTGAGAGAATTCTTCCATTTCTTTGATAACTCTAACTTTGCTTACCAAGAAAAGTCATTTATTGCTGATTGTAGAACTCTTGAACTCAGCCTAGTAGCTGTAGTGTGAAATTCTCAGATGCGTGCTCCTTCTTCCTTATTTACATATTCATTTGAAGTGAATTTTAGGATTGTTTGAAAACCTCTCTAGACCTGACATGTAATAGCCAAGATCTAAGACTCACCATGTTTTTGCTTCTTTTTCTCTTTGTCTTACAGATAACAGACGAGTACCTTTAGAAAGGTCACGCTCACGCCACAATGGAGCTATCTCATCTAAGTGAATCCTAATGCCAAAGAATATGAAAACATTTAAACAAAATCATACACTTTTAGAAGAACAAAATATGCACTCAAGGGATGGAAATAAGTATATTTCTGCAAAGGTCAAGCTCAACTGGATGAAGTAATGTGCATTTGTAAAACTGTTGCAAGATTCCTCTCAAGATTATACTAATCAGGATATGGTTGTCAAGATTATAAAATGTTTGTTCCACTTTTGTGTAAAGAAGTGTATTATTTATTGTTGTGTGTGACCTGATTCTTAAGATGCAAGTGTAAGAAACTGAGTGGGTTCTAAGGCTTTCAAACATATAATCTGTAAAAATTTGATATCTTAAATTTCTAGGTCACTCCCATGAAAACAAAAAAGAAGATAAAGAGTAGACAGCAAGAATTATTCAGTATCTGCTTCCAAACGTTATTGTATATAAAAACAAAAGTGAAAGAAACATGTGCTTGTCAATGATATGGGAATGTGCTACTATTGCTTACATTGCAAGAGAAGCCATTTTGAAAATTTTCTTAAGTACTATTCCACTCCAGTCCAGATATATAGAGTTTTATCTCGAGTGAAAGCTGATAGATTTATCTGCTTTGGCTGATGTTACACTTATCATTAGTCCAGCATTTCAGAATGATATTGCAGACACTTCTCATTGCTAAAAATAAACCAAAGTTTAGCAGAATCAGTTAGGGAAAATGACTTAAAATTTATTTAAAGAGATATTTTCTAATTATGCATAGATATCTACTTTATACAAATACTTTATATGGCTATTTTTGAGAAAAAAATCCCACATTTTAATGCATATGCTAAGAATGGACCTGAGCACTCTATTATCTTTACATCACTTTCAAAGGCAAATACTATTTCCTATTCTGTGATTTATTTCTTCTCTGTGTTGCTTCTTTCTTCCTTGACCCTCTTGAAGGCAGGGACTAGAGTTCTACAAGACCCAAAAGAGCTTTTTTTCTGCAGGAGGCAGCAGAAAACTGTTGAAAAGGTCAATTTTTTATGTCCCTTCTTACTCCCTTTTCCAATTGCAGTTTGGTGTTCTAAAGAAGAAAAGGAAATCATATATAGATCCCAGCAACGAAGTGAGCTTCTTAATCATCATCATACTTACTTCTACATTAACACATTTAAATGATGCTTACCAAATCTAGGAAGAAAAATAAGCTATTTATATTTTTCTTAAATAGATGAGAGAGTAAAAGTTATACTTAACTTGTCTATTACTTTAAAATATGCATTGAAATAATTGGTATAACTTCTCTGGAGTGCAATTTCAAGACTAATTCATGCAGATGATTGTGATTACTATAAAATATTTCTTATATGTACATTTCTTAGGTATAAAGCATATTCCACTCCTCCAAAGCATGTTATTCAGAGCAAAGCATTCAGAGCATAGACACACAGGATTGGCTTGGTACGTCGTCTTATTGAATAAAGTAAATAAGGGTTAGCTAGTTCACAGATTCCTTTATATAGATGTACACTAATTTCAACAGCTACCTTTTTTCCCAGTGAATTATTACTTGGTTATTACATTTCAAATGTTCTGAGGATGCTACAGTAGAGAAATTTTAAAAAGTAACAACATGTGAAATTTCTATTTTTCCTATCTTAAAACATGTACATGTGCACACAAACATATTTAAGAACATATCCATTTCACATACTTTTTAGGAACAATGAGAAAAATGTAGGTCCTACTAATTTGTGCAAATAACTACTGTGTATGTTTTTGACTTCATAGTCTTTTCTAAATTTTCATGTTATATCTTTTTGATAGCTTTTCAGTCTGTAGGAAAATGGCTATGAAATATAAATCCTCACTGAAATTTGGGGCATTTTCCATGCCATATTACTAAGCTGGTCAAGGTACAAAAACTGATGTGTATCACCTTTTCTATATGTGAACTTGCCTTGTTTTCTAGTTTGCAAGCAAGAATGTATGAAAAACTACATTGCTACATTATATATTTGTTTTTAAAATAATCTCACATGCCTTTCACACATATTAGAAACCCTTCCGTAATCCAATAATTAAGTTAAAGGATTTATGTATCAGATTTATGATGGTGCTGTTCTAGCTACTTGGAAGTTTTGTTTTATATAGAAATGCATGACCAAAAAGGGTACATAGTGACATATTTAGTACAGAATGAAATTATACTAAACTCTTGTTTATTACTGCCACACATAAGCAGTACCATTTTTGCAGATTTTCTTTGAAATGTTAAAAAAACACAAAGCCTTTAAAACTTTAACTAGTTGCATTGATTTCATTTGGCTGCTATAATGACCTAAGCTTGGTGGCTTAATGCAACTGCAAATCTCTCACAGTTCTGGAGGTCAGCAGCTTGAAATCTAGGTTCCACCAGGCAGGGCCCACTTCAGATGCTCTAGTGGACAATCATTCCTCGCCTCTTCTAGCTTCTGGTGGCTGTTATTCCTTAGCTTCTGTCCACATTTCTCTGTGCTAATCTTCACAACACCTTATGTTTTGAGTACCTAATCTCTCTCTGCCTCTCATATAAGAATACTTATGTTGACATTGAGGGACCACCCAATTAATCTCATCTCACAATCTTAAACTTCGTTAGTTCTGTAAGACTCTTTCACAATACAGTAATATTTACAGCTTCAATGGATTGTGTTGTTGACAAACCTCTGACCCTGCCCCTAAGTTTCAGTCTCTCCCATGTGTGAACACAATCACCCCATCTTAATATTTCTAAGCTTCAACCTACTACAACATCAACTCTTTTTGCTTTATTTTTTGAGAAAGGATCTTGCTGTGTAGTCAGGGCTGGCCTTAAAATCACAGTGATCCTCCTACCTCAGCCTTTTGAGTATTGGAGTTAGACATGACCATCACATCTGCCACATCAACACTTAAATCTAATATCCAAATTTTATCCAAATATCATTTGGAAATTCTCAAATCCCATCACCTAAGTTAAGCATGAGTAAAATTCTGGCTATGAACCATCCTAGGGCAATATTCCTTTCCATGTGTGAACAAGTATAGTAAAGCAAATTTTTTTTTCTACAAGCAATAGTGAAATTGGCATGGAATAACTAGAGAAATTTCTATTCCAAAAGGAAGAGAGTGGAAACCAGAAAGAAGTCACATGTCCCACTCATTTTCAAGAAACAGCCAAACAAATGCTCCTTAGGTTTCAGGGCCTGGCTATAGTCTGCTGTGTTTTGGGGGTCCCATCTTCTGGGTCTGTGTAGCTCTTCTCTCTTGGATCATGGATTGGGCCCGTGCCTCTATACTTGTGGCACATACTTCCTCTGCTCTCATGCTGAAGTATTTGTCTTTGTACCTATACCTGCGGCCTTGGAGTGATCCTTCTTTTGCAGCCTAGTTGTTTTATCAATGTATTTTCTGCCTATAGAATTGCAGTGGTCTTACAGTCTGCTTCTGTTTTGTCTGCTTTCTGTGTTTTTCAGGACATGCTGGAGGTGTTTCTGCTGGTATAACCTCAGAAACCTCATGAGCCTCCCATGTAAGTCATGTTGATTTCACACAGTTAGAAACAAAGATCCTTACACATCTGTCCAGGATAAGCTCACCTCTGTCCGTGGTTTCTGCTGAGATGGTTAAGTGAATCCATGAGTCATTGCCTAATCTCTTTAGCACTAGCCAAACATTACCCAGCCACGGGGTAGGCCTTATCTCCAGAGCAATTTCCTAACAGTGAACATCCTTATCTTACTGTCTATTACACTCTGGATAGACTCAGATTTTCCCAAATCATCAAGTATTCATTCTTTTTTTACTTAATAATTCATTCTTCAGTTTATCTCTCTCCTCTCTATTTTACAATAGCAAGAAGTAACCAGACAATTCCTCCAACACTTTGCTTGCAAATCTCCTTAATTAAGTATTCAAGTTCCTCGTTTATAAGCTGTGTTTTTCACACAAAACTATAGGGGTCAATTCAGATAAGCTTTTTGCCACTGTATAACAAGGATTGCCTTTTTGCAGTTTCCAATAAAATTTTCTGTATTTCCTTCCAAGACCTCATCAGAAATGTCTTTACATTCATATTTCTATCAAAAGCCTTGTTGAAGACATTCATGATTTTTTCTGTTGAGTGCATCAAAATTCTTCCAGCCTCCATCCTTCATCAAATCCATTGCCACATTGTCATTTTAGGGACTTATTATAGCAATATCCCACTTCCCAGTACCAAAATCTGTATCAGGTTCCTATGGCTACTGTAACAAATTATCCCAGACGTAGTGGTTTAAAATAATATATTTATATCTCTATATCTACTCTTTATTCTCTTACTGGTTTGGATTCCAGAAATCCAAAGTCAAGTTTGTGCCATGGTTATATTTCTGGCTGCTCTAGGAGAAAAATCCATGCCTTCTATCTCCTCTTGTTCGTGGCTGTCATTGTTCCTTGGCTTCTGGCTGTATCTCTGCATGCTTCACTTCATCTCTTCTGTGTATCTAGCTTACCTCCACCTCTGTCTTATAAGGACACTCATGATGGCATTTAGGGCTCACAGACATGGCCTGTCCAGACTCTGTGAAAATCTCCTCACTTGGTGATCCTTAGTTTAATTACATCTTCAAGGACCCCTTAATCCAAATAAGATAATTTCACAAGTTAGAATATGAGCATATCTTTTATCGGTGGGTCACCATCCATCCACTACACTAGTTATATCACACAAATGTACTTAACACTTTTTAAAATGCATCCTTGGTGCTCAAGCCAGATTTAAGTTTGTCTCTAAGGCTGTTATCTATACAGGTTACTGCATGCTTTGTTTTAAATGGATGAAAAAACTCTTCTAAATTTTGATCGATACTTTTGCCACTACGGTGAGTTAGCCTGAAAAAATCAGTGATATCAACTCTGTGCTGTAGTGTATCTTTTCTGCCCTTTCTATGGTTTATCTGACCAAATGTCTTCTGTGATTTACAATGTAGGCGCAAAACTACCTCTGATACAGAAAAGTTCTTACAAGCTTATTTAGATATTGTGAATCCCTCAGCTGAAGGGAGAAGTGCAAGCAAAGACTTCATTGAATGGGTATTGAGGGAGATTGTGTCCATACCAAGCCACTTTGCAGAAGTATTTCAGAAGCAGTAAACATTTAAATTTACGTTCTCGTTTTGCCTGGGAAAAAACACTTGTCTCTAAGCAGGACCAAGAATGACTTGCAACCTATATGTAATGCCTATTTACTTATTCAATAAAGTTAAGATACACATTGACTGTTGTGCTGCCTATGAAAATTCCATTTAAGGATGAATGAAAGCCACAAACTGAAGTGTGAAGACAATGTGAGACTAGAAGCTTCAACTAAACAGAAGTGCAGGCGGAGATCATAGGGTCATGTTAAAGGATTGATGTTCTTGTGGGAATCTTAGGGTTTTCTTTGGTATTCCTTAGCACAGTTTGTCAGAGTAGTAGGGAGACATTTGTACAACTAAAGGGTCTAGAAAAGTCAGAGAGTGATTTACATTCTCCCGAGAAACTGGTTCTACAGCAAGGGATTTTTCCTCTTAACTATAAGAACTAAAACAATGTGTTGCTAATGCTGAAAGGTAAAGGCATCTGGAATAATTAAAAAAGGATTGAGGATCGTTGTGCTCTTGAGAGCTCTCAAAATAATACCTCATCATGAGTTGGCTGAACAGAATTTGAAGGCCTGGGCAGTTGAATAACCACATCTATAAAAGATGTGATCTGAAACAGGTCAAATCTCTTGTTTTCTTTGGAATTGTTTACCCCAGTAATCAAGTACATTGCTTTTCCTGCTTTGCCCCAGAACATACCCTCGTTAATCAAATATGCAAATTCTTTAGGAGGGCATCTGAAAATGTATACTATCTACAACCAACGAAATTTGAAATTGATAGCAGGAATTTGAAGGAAAATGGAAATCTGGACATTTAGACGTATATGACAGATGAGAGTTTTGAATTATAATGAAAAACAACAGCCTAAAATCACATTTACAGTCATATCTATATGTCTACTGTCCCAATAGCTACAAAAATATTATAGTTACTGCCCACCACAGGAAAAAAGTGTTGAAAGTACATGAGTTAGGCAAATAGTAACTTTATATCTGATTCTTGGAATGTAACCAAATTATTTCAGTTACTAACCTTATATTTGATCTTTTTTTTTTTGGTGGACCCGGGGATTGAACTCAGACCTTTGCATTGCCAGGGAAGCACTTATTCCCCTGAGCCATCTTCCCAGCCCCCCCCTTATATCTGATCTTTTATCTGGCTAATGGACATTCAGGTAATATTTTTTCAGGTAATATTTTTACCTATATGTTGGCATACTGAGTTCAGTCTAATTTTTAAACTTTTGTTGATCAGCACAGCATAAATACTATCACTATATTAGACATAATAAATAATATGAAACCTTCATCTTTTCAAATTTGCTAAAGCCTTCCCATGCCCAACCACCCATGTAACTATATTAGTCTCTGAGTGACCACTCAATGGAAATTTCCCTTTCAGAACCAAAATTGGATTTAGAAATAGTTCCAACCTGTAAGACCTCAGTCCGGTCAAAAACATGTACAGTTATACATACCGAGAAAGAAACTAATCAGTGTCATAAGAGTGGAATAGATAAGGCCTGTGACAGTTCTGAAAAACCAAACTATCTTCACTTTCAGATATGTGGAGCATGTTACAAGTACCAGTGTAGTTCTGTGGAAGGTCTGGTTGTTAAGCCTAATATGTTACTTCCATTGGATTAAGAAATGTCTAGCAGATCACTAAAGCATGTTCCTGGGTTGTCTCAGGGTGTCACGCACAGAGCCATGACCTTGGATGCTATACATAGTCCCTTTCTGCTTCTTCTCTGACAGTGTTCCCCTGCTCTGCTTCCCAGCTCCAGGACCGAGCATTTTGTCCCTCTGTGTTCTTCCCCCATGATGTTTCTGGCTCAGAGCCAGCTGCCGATCATAGACAAATGCCAGCCAATTAAGCCTTTGTTCCCTTAAGCTGTGGGTGTCAAGTATTGTGTCTTACGGTTGAAAAGCTGAATCATATAGAAAGAAGGCCATGTTAACTGAAATGTAAAAGGGGAGTAGATTTGAATACGTGATGATTGTATTCACTCACTATTTTGCATGTAACTACTGTGTGCTATATACAGTACAAGGCTCTGAGAATATAAAAATGAACCAGATAAATGTGGTCCTTGTTCTTCTGGCCTTACATATTTTTGAAGAGGGAGAGAGGGAAAGGATGAGCAGAGGTACAATCACAGAATCAATTGGTGAATGTGTACAGAATGTTGAACAATTCAGTGTAACTGTAGTGTATGGTATATGAGAAGCAGCAGTGGTTGTGTGGCTTAAACATGATTCTATAAGTAGTAGGGATATGCTGGAGAGTATTGTGCAAAGAAATGATAGAGAGTACTTATGGAAGACAACACTAGAAGCACTGTATAGGACCACGAAGGAAGACATCCAGAAGACTGGGATTGAAGGCTCTGGAATAGTAGTTTTGAGAAAGGAAGGCTCATACTGCAATAGCATTGGTGGAATGAATGCCAGTGGTATCTAAAGAACTGGTAACCTCATGTTTAAGGTGAGAGGAAATGGAAGAATCAAGTTTGACATCAAGTTTTCAGACCTAAGTGACTGATGAGCTATCTTCAGCAGAGAAATTAAACACAAGCACTTAAGTTTTCAGTGCTTCACTATCCATGGTTATGTACAGTTACATTTTCGATGCATGGTATGATCCTATTTATTCTGTTGAAAAAATTATAAAAGCCTAATATACAAGTAATAGTAAATCGTAGTGCAGACAAGAGAGCATGGTTTCTATACCAGAACATATTCCCTAATACAATAATAAATAATGTAATAAGACAAGAGTACTCTAGGTTGCTTTCTTTTTCTTAATTTAATTTTGAAGAATAAAAATGAGATCAAGAACAAAAACCAGAAACAGGATAACATACAACAATACAAGTTACAGATTTTCAAAACAAGAAAATAGCTGATATATTCAAAGAATAATATTTTAATTAAGTTGAATATATTAACATTATTTTTTCTTTACTTTGTAAAAATGTAACTGCTAGATCATTCAAAATCATATCATTTACAATTTATTTCTTCTGAATGGTGCTGATCTAGAGCATGGAGGTTTTCTTGACAATGGTGACTTAGCTCAATAGTCAAACTACAAAATATATGGCTATAGTAGGAGTAAATGTTAAAGAAAAGTGAGTGAAACAAATTGTGGAGGACTTCGATCATTCAGCCAAAGTTTAGACTTTAATTTCCTGTTTTCTGGTGAGCTACTGCAGGACTGCAAGTGTGGGGATGAGATGATAAGAAGGTTACTTTTGAAAATGATAAAAATATAGACAGAATAGTTACAACAATTGGCAGTGAGATGCTAGGTTCTTGGATTAGGTAGTATCTTTGACATTAGAAAAATATAAACGCAAGGGGCTGACCAAATAGCTCAGCAGATTAAAATTCCTGCAAGCAGGTGCAGGGGCCAGGGGTTCTATCCCCAGGCCTGCAGTGCCAGTCCCAACCCGGGGGCGCACTGAGATGGAAATTGAGACTGGGCGTGCTGGTGCGCACCTGTAATCCCAGCTCTTGGGAAGCTACAAACAGGCAGATCACTACAAGTCCAATCTAGTAGTGAGACCCTGAACACCCTGTAGACCCTTCTCTGAAATGCAAAAAAGAAAATAAAAAGAAAAATATAAATGAAAACTATATTATTAAAGGAAAAGATGTAGAACTGAGTTGGGGTATGGATGCCAGAAATATCTTGAAGGTTTCTTATCCTGGCAATTGGAAGCAAGTTAGTATAGTAATAAACATAATTAAGTCTTGAGAGGAAACTAGATGGGGATTACCTGAGAGAAAGTGATTTTAACTTTTGACATTGTAACTTGAAGGAGATGACTGAAACTTGGAACTGAGGGTATGAGATACATTTCAGTCTTAGTACAGGTAGTTATTTGGATGGATAATTATAGTAATTATTAGTATTTATATGGCATCATAATACACAAAATGTTCATTCCATATGTTATTTCACATAATCTTTGTAATAACTGTCTTACTTCACCTATTGCTGGGACATAATACCAGCCAGCACCCAACGTTAAAGCAGGAAAGGATTTTTTTTTTCCTTTGGCTCACAGGTTTTAGAGGTTTCAATTCACAGTCAGCTGGTTCCAAGGCAGAGTGACATGGCAGAGGTGCCTCACAGAGATAAAACAGTCCATAGCAGAGTAGGTAGGAGGCAGAAAGCAGCAATAAACTGTGCTTCTGTCCCTTTATATTCCATCCAGGGTATGATTCTACTGATCGGTGCTACCCACAACCATGGTGGGGTTTCCATTATCCACACCCAGAACTATGCTAATCCCATTTAGTTATGACACATCAGTAATACATATTCACATACCCATGGTCCAGCCATCTGCTAAAAGCCCCACTTAGGAGCTCATAAGGCTTTGTGGGGACATCTAGATACAAGCCATACTTGTCAAAGATTATGTAGCAGTTAGTGACCAAAGAAGCATACTAAAACTTGCTTTATTTCTATCACCATAATTTAAAAAAATATGAAGGGAAAATTTAGAAAAAACTGTATCTCCCAGATTATACATTTGCAAATCCCTCACACTACTTGTTTTGAAGTGAAGCGCTCACTCCAATCCTGGAAAAAGTTTCAAGTTCTCTTCAGTTGTTTTAAACATCTTTTTCAGGGATGAGAAAACTGAGGTCCTAGGATACTCAGGAAAATACATATTAGTAAAGTACATAAGTTGAATTCAGACAAGAACTGTGGTAGAATGTGCTTTATATTAAACCTTTTGTTTAAAGTATGTCTCTTTACCTGCCACATTAACCTGACAAATTGTAATGGACTTGGTCATAGAACTTGCTTTGACCAATAGAATATGAGGTAAAGTGGCCTCTGCCAAATAAGACCAGCAACCTTAAAGCCATAGCATAGTTCATCATTTTTTTTTTACTTTTTCCTCTGTCTCAAGATTGGCACGTCCAAAATAAGGGCTCCTTGTTCAGCTATGATAGTAGAATGAAAGATATATTAAGCAAAGTCGTGGATCGACTGTAGCTGCCACAACTGATCTTGTTACAGTAGTGGAGGTTTGGGGCTTTTTGTAACTATAATACAGCAAACACAAGCAGATATACTACTCTATTATATGGA